CGCTGCATCTGCTGCCTACTTATACTCGCGCTGTGATCAGCGGCAGCTGGATGCAATAATCGCATGCCAATGTGCATTGGCTCGTTTAGTTTACACTCGAAGTAGATTGGTCTCTCTAAGCGAGATCCCAATTCGTCGGTCATCCGACGTGACGTCTCCGTTCCCTCCTTCAGGGAACAAGAGTTACCATACGTAACCGAGATGTTATTCAGTTAATTTATATATTCAGTTCAATTATATAAATTAACAAACAAATTAATTTTTATAATAAATATCGCAACAATCATTCATCACTTTAATTTATGTAGTTTGAGTATGACAAATTATATACATTTAAATATACGCTACCGTTTAAAAGTTTGGTGTCAATTTGATTTTTTGATTACTTTTATTCAGCAAGGAAGGATACATTAAATTGATCAAAAGTGACCGAAAAGACATTTATAATGTTACAAAAAATTTATTTCATATAAATACATTTATATTTCATATAAAAGCTTTTAATTTTTAACTTTCTGAAAAAAAAAAAAAAGCATCAATTTTTAACATTTAAAATATTAAGAAATGTTACTTGAGCAGCAAATCAGCATGTTAGAATGATTTCTGAAGGATCATGTGACTGAAGACTGGAGTAATGGCTTCTGAAAATTCAGCTTTACCATCACATGAATGACTAACATTTTAAAATATATTAAAATAGAAAACAGGTATTTAAAATTGTAATAATATTTCACAATATTACTGTTTTTACTGTATTTTTTTTTTAAACAATTGCAGTCTTGGTGAGCATTAGATACTTTTTTCAAAAACTGCGAATTAAGACAAGATTAACAACGGTCAGTAATCATGCTTGTCTACTGTGATGTGTATGGCATCTTACAGTATATGCAAAAATGCATCAGAAAGCATCCTTTATTTGGCTTGAGGAATTGTTATATTTGTACTTAAACATAATAGATTTAATACATATGTGTTATGACCAGAAACTAGAATCATTCTTTTGATGTTATTATCAGTCGAACAATACAGCAACGTACAGCAATTGAAATCTGTATGAAAGTTTGTTTAGCTCTACAAACACTACTCAGAAAGTTTTTTTTTCCTGAATAATATTTTATGTGTAGCTCTTTTTTTGCACATTCTCATAAAATCATGTTTTGCAGGGATGCATAACTGATTAATATTTCACTCAGAGGCACTTGAGATACAAAAAGCGGTTGGATTTCATTCTCATCATTTCTCGTTCAGCATAAGTGTTTTCCTGCTTTCGTTTGCATTTTCAGAGCAACATGTTTAATTATTTGATTTAGATTTAAACAGCACTTCTCATTTATTAATGTGAGGAGGCTGTAAATTGGTTCTTCTGCTGGCATGCTGCACGTGGTCTATTTGTGATAAAAGGATGAAAACAAAGAATCAAAATCTGCACACATGCACGCACACTGCTTCTTTCATTTTCTCTGCCTGTCTCCAGAATAACAATTCACCATAAATATGCTATTCAATAACAGGACCGCTATCACTGGGGAAAAAACTGAGAGTCAGCAAAGATTTTCCTCTCATTATTATAACAATGCTGAAGAGGTGACACTGTGAAAATAATACTGTTCAAGCATTGTTTCTATTAGCTCCTGAAAGGCAGAACTATTAAACAGGCATTTTTTTCTTTGCTGCTGTTCCTTTAAGAAATGTACACTTCACATGCGAAATGAACAACAAAGCTGTTGTTTTTTTTAGTTTCACTAAATGGTCTTTTTGGTCTGGGGAGGAAGTTGAGTTCTCAGTGTTTTTACAGCAAATCAAAGTCTTTTATCTCAAAAGATCAGGGACAGTTTGATTCCTCATGATGTGAGTCTTCTAATGCATTATAACATCTATCACTGGCTATTGAGCTCAATAGATAAAACAGACTGAAAGACACATTACTTTACAAAAAGTTTGAGGTCAGTAACATTTTTAAGAAATTAATTATTTTATTCAGCAAGGACACATTAAATTGATCAAAAGGCACCGCAATTACACTACATTGTTACACAAGATTTCTATTTCAAATATTGTTCTTTTGAACTTGTATTATGGTTTCCACAAAAATGTTAAGAATTTTTTTTTTTAATAAATATTAGTTTAAAAATATTTTTCAACAAATACAGCTTTGCCATCACAGGAATAAATGTATAAACACATTAAAATAGTATATATATGTATAAATATATTAAAATAGTAGTTATTTTAAATTGCAATAATATTTCATTATAATTTCACAGTCTTTCCTGTATTTTTGTTTTAATAAAAAAAACAAACAGCTATGGTGAGCATAAGACTTTTGAATGTTGGTGTAGGAGGAAAAAAACAGAAAAGAAAATGCTCTTTATTGGAAAAACTACCCTACTTTTAAATTCACACTAATGAAAATGTAGTTAAGTAAACAACTACATTTAACTAGTTACTCTCTGACAATGGCCAGATTAGTCAGACACATCTAAAGTGATATAAAGTGTATTTCACTTATGTCACCTTGAGGCTGCCGGAGCTCGTGGAACACCACCACATCCAGAGGGTTGTTGAGATGTTGAGCCAGCATCGCAACATCATGCCCTGTCAGCCGGTTTACACTGTAGATGGCCTCAGCCTCCAAGTCTGTCCAGTAAACCCGGTCCTGTAGAAACATACAGAATGTGAATTCTGCACAAGCAGGAGCTAATGCATTCCTGTGGTTCAACAATTACAACATAGCACTAGCAGTGAACTAATACATGAACTGATAATATGTATATGTATATCTGGAATAGAAGTTGCTTTGTATAAAAGAGTGGAAACAAGAATAAATGCAAATTGTAACAAGTGAAGTTAGTTTTATGCCCAGTTTACACTATACTGTACATAAGTTTGGGGTCCGTAACATTAGCAATAATGTTTTTGAAAGTAGTCTCTAATGCTCACCAAGACTGCATTTATTTGATCAAAAACACAGTAAACAGTAATACTGTGAGATACAGTTATAATTTAAATTAATTTTTTAAACAATTTTAATATATTTTAAAATGTAATTTATTCTTGTGACAGCTAAATTTTCAGCAGCCATTATTACTGCAGTCTTCAGATTCTACAGCAATTCTACAGAAATCATTCTGATTTGGTGCTCAAGTAACATTTCTTATTATTATCAATGTTGGAAACAGTTTCTGTGGAAACTGATACAATTTATAGGAATTTTGACTGAATAGAAAGCTGAAAAGAACAGCATTTATTTGAAATATAATTTTTTTTGTAACAATGTAAAAGTATTTACTGCCACTTTTGATCAATTTAATGCAACCTTGCTGAATAAGGGATATATTACTTCTTTAGAAAAAAAATCTTACTGACCCCAAACGGTAGTATAAAGAATGAATAAGAAGTTAAATACATCTTTATATATAGTTTTTATAATTTAGTCACATCTTTTCTTACCTAAGGCATCAAGTGACTACTATTCACATTGTTCTTGGGTATTTTACTGTAAATCAGGATACCAATACACAGGACACAAAAGATACTTGGATAGAAAAAAAAGCAAACCAACCAGGTATTATTCAGTAGGGCATGTTTTTTTTTTTTTTTCTATGTATGATGCAAGACACCAAAAAAGGAAAGAAAAGAGAGGAAAAAGACAATGAAGATAAAGGCTTCTGTGTCTTTTGGACCACAAAGGTTTTTCATCAGACTAATTAAAGCTCGCAGCTCTATCTCTCCTTTGTATCTTACACCTACATGAGCCTGAAAGCACACGCTTCACTGTCTGACAATACCACTTTCAACATTCTCCTTGCTTCTCCGTCTGCCTCCCTCCTCTGATCAGTCCTTATCAGCCGCTACAGAAATATTGCAAATGTGCATGGTGAGATGGTCTGTTACTACGACAACCTAAGATTCATCTTTTCAAACGGATACGGAAATGGATGAGGAAGTTCGGGAGGGGGTGTTTTTGGGGTAACAATAGAAAATTACAAGGGGGAGGGCCAAAAAAAAAGATCAAAGCACCAAGCATGCCCAAGTGGGCGGCTGGCTTCGAGTTTTAGAGGATGTTTACAGAGCCGTGCATTTTTGGAAAGGTCAGGCTGCTGGATCCCAGTGGAGCTCCGTCAGGTGCTCCTGCTGGCGGCGGCTGATCAGTAGGACTCCTTAACCTGCACTAGACAGCATTCAAATTCTGCCGCATTGCAGCTCTCATCTAACGCACGGGCCACGAAGGCACCATATCTGATATAGATAACTGCTTTAATCTATGACACAAAAGGCAGGCTTCTAACATCCAGGTCTGAAATTTGTACTCCTTGAGCGAGGGGAGCGTCTTTATTAAAACCTTTCATCAAAGTCTTCGCTTCATTTGGAAAGGAGCAACTATCCCAGTGGAACTGAATTGGTCTTGACATTTTCAATGCTTCCCACTAACCAATAAAATAATGTGAAAGCTGATGTGGAGATATTGGTCTGTTATGAGACAGGGCAATGGAAAGGTCACACAGCGTCTGAAAAGGTGACAGGAAAATGGAGTAAATTTCTAATATGTAATTTGAGGTCTGCTGTGTTGGAAGCCAGTATGTGGTCTTCTTTGAGACACTAAAATAATTCCCTTAGTTCACTAAAGCCCTCTGCCATAGCACATTTATTTACAGTAAAAACTGTAATGTTGTGAAATATCATTACAATTCAAAATAACTGTTTTATATTTTAATATACTTTAAAATGTAATTTATTCTTGCGATGGCAAAGCTGAATTTTCAGCATCCATTACTCCAGTCTTCAGTGTCACATGATCCTTCAGAAATCATTCTAATATGCAGATTTAATGCTTAATAAACATTTCTTATTATTAGAAATTTTGAAAACAGTTGTGCTGCTTAATATTTTGTGGAAGCCATGATACATGTTTTTCAGAATTCTTTAATGAACCGAAAGTTCAAAAGAACAGCATTAATTTTTTATAATAATTTAAAAGTTTTTATAGTCACTTTTAAACTATTTAATGCGTCCTTGCTGAATAAAATTAATAATTTCTATTAACTATTAAAAAATCTTACTGATCCTAAATAAGTAATATAATAAATAATACTATTCAATGAAATTATTATATTAATATTATTATCTCATTAAAGGGGTCATATGATGCGATTTCAATTTTTCCTTTCTCTGTAATGGGTTTTAATGTTTTTGAATGTGTAATGTCTCGTCGCTCCGGCCGGGACAGGGCATCAACAGTATGGTGAGGGGCGTAACATTTCCGTCACACGCTTGAGGTATTCGGCCAATCACAACACACTGGATAGCTGGCCAATCACAGCACACCTCGCTTTTTTAGAACGATGAGCTTTGTAAAAATCGACACGTTTCAGAAAGGCGGGGCATAGAGGAGAAACAATAACGTACAGTATGTGGAAAATAATGTGTTTTTTTTTACTTTAAACCGCATAAACACATTTCATTACACCAAATACACAAAATAATGTTCTTTTTAGTAGCATCATATGACCCCTTTAACTTTCGGTTCTTCACATAAAGCTACTGTATGTCCCCTGAAGACGTGGAATATGGGGCACAAGTTGTACTGACGACTTTCATGGTGTTTCACAGAAAAATAATGAATGCCATATGGGTTTGTAATGACATAAAGGTGACTAAATGATGGGGGGGGGGACTAGAAAAAAGTGAAATGGGCATTTAGTAACTTCAATTTTCATAACTTGATTTTTGGTTTACTTTTAAGCTGTCAACTGTCAAAAGGAAATGTGTACTTGAAGAAATTTTTTTTAAATTTTTGTTGGGAGGAATGAGAAATTATGCAATTAAAAATAATGAACCAAAATAATGAGCTTACTGGAATTGACTCTGGCACCAAAGACTGCACAAATGTTTCATACAGAAAGATTTGTATGCTCCTGTAAGCACATCTACAAAACACCCCAAAAGTTAGAGGGCAGTTTTTGGCTACAGTTGTCTCTTACTGTAACTTCAACAGCCAAGTGGAGAACTTTAGGAATACTTTAGGACCAGCCTCAAGGATGCTGCAGCAAAGTAGCGTTTCATTTCACATGTGCCCTCGACAAAAGTAAAATAATGAAATAAACACATTGTTTCCTTTTCTCTAGGGTTTGGCCCCGGGGTGCCCTCTTACTGAGCTGGCTCATCGACTGGCCTGATGAAGGGCATTAGGTGATCTATTGTTTGGGCTGGGTCCTGCCTTCAGGCGCCGTAGAAGCTGCCAAAGTAAAAAGGCTTTTTAATTTGGTCTGTGTCTTTGGCTGGTGCCAGCCACACAAAGCCATACATCTCTTGGCAAGTGTTACTGTCTCACAGACTACTACACCCTGTGAGCAGAAACATGTTTGTGTGCATTTTGAAGCCAAACTGAGCGTAGAAGCATCTTAAGGCCGGTTTTAGCCAATGGAGCTCCATCTGTGCCTGCATGAATGAGTACCTCAGTAAATTATTTGTTTACCTCAAAAAGAGTCAGGGCAAAGGGATGTCCGAGATGATCCATGGAGGACAGCAAAACTCTACGGTTGTCTCCATTCAGGTCCACACTGGAGATCAGATGAAGCTTGGAATCCACCCAGTAGAGTCGTCTACTAGACAGATCTGGAAGAGGAAAGAACATTTAATGGAACATATAAGTAGCATGTCAGTAATACAACAAATGCTTTTAATTTAACATGAGTGGTCAAAGGAAACGTAGAATAGTGGGTAGTACCTGAAGGCATAATTCATATTTCAGTTAATATTCTATGGTTTTTCATTATAAAAGTTTTTTGTTTCTAAATTCTCAAATCCACCTTTTTTTGTCAATATCTTTTTTTTCTATCCATCTACCATTAATGCTTTTTCAAATGGCTTTCATGTTAAGCGAGCCAGAGAAATGAGGGCGATATTGACAGCGTTGCTTGAGCAATTCCATTTAGTTTTTCCCAAACTGACGGGTGATTGATGAGAAACAATGAAGGTGAATGATTCAAAGCCCTGTTGGCCACAGGAGGCTGCTCTTCATTATTAACACTCTTTCTTCTCCTTCTGCCTCACTCTTACTGGGTTTGTTTGGTCTTTCTCAATCCTAATGTTTTTCTTCTTTCTCCTCTAGTATTTGGGTTGATGTCTTTGTCTCTTGCAATGATGGCAAACGCAGCTCTCTCGTGTCTTGCTTTTTGGTATGATATGCTTTGTTTTGCTCTCTGCTGTTTCTCTTTGATCTTTTGTTGTCTTTTCTGGTATTCTCCAGTGTGTGTTTCTCTATTTTGACTATATTTGAAGATGTGAATACGTTTGATTTGAATGGAAAAAAACTGAATTGCAAAACTTTCAAATGGTGTTTTACCGAGCGCAATCCCATTGGGCCACTCGATCCTCTCTGAAACCAGAACCTGCCGATCTACCCCGTTCATTCCAGCTTTCTCAATCTTCGCTTGCGTTCCCCAATCTGACCAGTACATGAACCTGAGGGGGTCAAAACAAACAAAATGTTCATGATCAGAATCATGGAGAGATCAGACCAGTGGTTGTCAACCTTTTTGACTCCACTGTCAATATTTGAGGGCACCATGATTTTTCCAGTTTGTTATTTACTGGATAAGAATTAAGAATAAGGGATTTAAAATATTTGTTTTTTTTTTTACACAATTTCAACCCAATAAAATATTTCAAAGCAAGGCACAACCACAAAAATGTATATTCATCATAAAAATGCCCATGGAGTTATACGATTTCATTAATTTACATGACCTTTCCAGGTCTAGAAATCACACTTCTAAAATTAAGCTACCTCATAAATCCAGAAACTCTGGTTATTTATAGAGAGAATAAAATGTGGAATTAAAATAAGAAATATCTGGATTTTTAGTTTTTTAGCTTATTTTAATACTTGCTTTGTCTTAATTTGAATTCATTTTAAATTGTCTTAAGTCTCCCTTGGAAGTTTGTGGTTCTTGGAAGTCCATTTTTTACGTGGAATACTGCGGAATAGATTTAAACCTGATAAAATGTGTAAAACTGAGGTTTAACATTCTTATTGGTAGTATTTAGATATTTTTCAAAAATACCTATTAAACATAGGGGCAGGCGATATATGAAATTTTGTCAATGACGGTATTACAATTCTGCAAAAATCTGCGGAGCTTTTAGACGAGTTCCCTTTGTTGGGTCAGCAAAAGCTTCATGTTACCAAATAAACGAGATGCAGTTAACTGGAAAATTAGGGAGCTCCAATGGCCTTGAAACATTTACTCTCATCACCTGTCAAAACTCAAGATGAATAGGTGAGAGTATGATCATTAAAAAGAGTCTCATCTAACTCCGTCCCTATAAGAGTGAAGTGGGCACTTTACCCACAGGCAACAATTAGTTGGTATTCCGACCAGCTTGAGACTCATTTGCATGTTTTTCATGCTCTTCTACTTCTGTAATATGGTGAAAAGACCCCTGAGGGGAAAGATTCATTACGATGAATGGCAGTAAAAAAAATATGACACAGACGAAGTGAAGGAACCTTTGACAAGGCTTTCAAAAATCTTGGTGTGTTGACACAGATCATGCAACGTACACCATATTTACATGATTCATTATTATTTAATGGGCTGAAAAAAATTGGCGGGAGGAGGCTTAATGTTTTCTTTAGGGTGTTGAGAACATGCACATTTTCAAATCAGCTGATTTGTACATTAAAAATATTATCTCGTTACCCTTGTCTTGGGTCAACGGCGATGGCACGTGGTTCCCCAAGCTCCGTGTCGATCAACACCTTCCTCTTCTTGCCATCGCCAGTCGCCACAGAGATAGTTTTGTGTCCAGAGTCGGTCCAGTAGATGTTCTTATGGACCCAGTCCATTGCTAAGCCTTCTGGGGAATGTAGCGCAGTGTCTATGAGCGTGAACTGTTGAGAAGCATCACTGGCTTTGCTGATGTACGCGCTGAAGAGGAACAAACACACTGTTAATCTACATCCAAAGCATTTAAGCAGATTTATTTATATATTCATAAACAATCACAAGATACTAGATACATCCGCCAGACTCATGGTGAATAAGCACGACATAAATAGCTGACACTCCCAGCTGTTGCCAGCAAAGTGAAGCAACATCTGCATTTTTCTCAAAGAACAATTGTAGGATGAAATGACTGTGACTTTTCCTGTCTCTGAAAGTTACAGTGACTTACAGTGAATCCAGTTGGATTGCCCTTTGAAGCATGGTGAAATCTGACGTGACTGTGACTGATCTTATGATCTAGCACTGATGAGAAAGTGCCATTATCACTTTAGTGTTACCTTGGTTATTCGACAAAAGGGATTCCGTTTGAATACGCCATATACATGTGCAATGCATACAATAACTTTAATGAGTAGCTAATGCCAAAAGTGTTGCCACAAACATTAATGCAAACACAAACAAAAATCTAGTAACATTTTGTGTTTTTGGCTTGTCTCCACCCAGGTGTTTCTTACTTGTCCTTAACAATACTAACAAATTAGCATATTTTCATGAAAACACAATATGGAAATAAAAGTTAACATTGTGTCTGTGATCTTTGTATATACACTACCATTTGGGGTCAGTCAATTAAAAAAAAAAAAGATATTAATACTTTTATTCATAAATGATACATTAAATTGATTAAAAATGACTGTAAAACATTTATAATGTCTATTTCAAATAAATGCTGTTCTTTTCTATTCATCAAAGAATGAACAAAAAATGTATCCCGGTTACAAAAATATTAAGCAGCACAACTGTTTTTAACATTGGTAACAATAAGAAATGTTTCTTGAACAACAAATCAGCAAATTAGAATGATTTCTGAAGTAGATGTTCTTATGGACCCAGTCCATTGCTAAGCCTTCTGGGGAATGTAGCGCAGTGTCTATGAGCGTGAACTGTTGAGAAGCATCACTGGCTTTGCTGATGTACGCGCTGAAGAGGAACAAACACACTGTTAATCTACATCCAAAGCATTTAAGCAGATTTATTTATATATTCATAAACAATCACAAGATACTAGATACATCCGCCAGACTCATGGTGAATAAGCACGACATAAATAGCTGACACTCCCAGCTGTTGCCAGCAAAGTGAAGCAACATCTGCATTTTTCTCAAAGAACAATTGTAGGATGAAATGACTGTGACTTTTCCTGTCTCTGAAAGTTACAGTGACTTACAGTGAATCCAGTTGGATTGCCCTTTGAAGCATGGTGAAATCTGACGTGACTGTGACTGATCTTATGATCTAGCACTGATGAGAAAGTGCCATTATCACTTTAGTGTTACCTTGGTTATTCGACAAAAGGGATTCCGTTTGAATACGCCATATACATGTGCAATGCATACAATAACTTTAATGAGTAGCTAATGCCAAAAGTGTTGCCACAAACATTAATGCAAACACAAACAAAAATCTAGTAACATTTTGTGTTTTTGGCTTGTCTCCACCCAGGTGTTTCTTACTTGTCCTTAACAATACTAACAAATTAGCATATTTTCATGAAAACACAATATGGAAATAAAAGTTAACATTGTGTCTGTGATCTTTGTATATACACTACCATTTGGGGTCAGTCAATTAAAAAAAAAAAAGATATTAATACTTTTATTCATAAATGATACATTAAATTGATTAAAAATGACTGTAAAACATTTATAATGTCTATTTCAAATAAATGCTGTTCTTTTCTATTCATCAAAGAATGAACAAAAAATGTATCCCGGTTACAAAAATATTAAGCAGCACAACTGTTTTTAACATTGGTAACAATAAGAAATGTTTCTTGAACAACAAATCAGCAAATTAGAATGATTTCTGAAGGATCATGTGACACTGAAGACTGGAGTAATGGCTAATGAAAATTACATTTAAAAATATATCTAAATATAAAATATTTCACATAGTAATTTTTCACAATTTTACTGTTTTTACCGTTTACTGTATTATTGATAAAATAAATGCAGCTGTGGTGAGCATACCAAGACTTCTTAAAAAAAAAAAACATCAGTTGTGTAACAGTAGTGTATTTTTATTTAACTGACCATGCATTATTAAAGATTTATTAATACAAAACAGTTGTCCATTTATCCTGTTCAAATAACTTTTTAACCAAATAATGAGAAAAAAAATGTTGTTAGCTTATTGTATGCCATTTTATCTTTGAGTTAAGTAAGGGATCAGTAAGGGATCATTTTTAAAATCCTGTCAACTTTTATCATATCGGTAGAAAATTGAAAACTGGTTATTGGCAGAATACCAGCATTAAAATCTTGTAGATTTATCCAACATAATTTTTTAACATTTTGAAACACTTACTTTCAATCTACTAAATATTTGTTTTTGATTTCAAACGGGAAAAGGCACACGTTTCATAGAATGACCCACCTGTCACTGACAGTGAGGAGGTGGTTTCTGTTATAACCTGATCATTTTCCATTTGCAGTCACCTACTGCCTTTAACAGATTCTGCTTCAACAGCCATCAAAATGGGCCCATCACCCTTTATAAGACTGCAGGACTTTAAGACACTCTTTTCAGAGTGGATCTTAAGTGAATCACAAGGACAGAGGCAATAGCAGTCAGGGAACATTTCTCTCGTGCTCTAAGAGCTCTATTAATAGGAACAGGTCTCCTGGCTCCTTTCAAACACTGATGATTCGCAAATGAGACAAAACAAAAAAGAAAAAATAAAGAGCTCTGCACTTAAACAATAGTGACTAAACATGATAAGATGGTCAATATAATGTGACGTCAACCGCTCATGGCAGTTCTTTTTTTATATTCATTATACTGATAGTAATACAAGATATATATACACTGAACAAAATTATAAACGCAACACTTTTGTTTTTGCCATTCAAAGGGCATTAAAGTGCGCGAGACGTGAATTTATATTGTATTTATTTACAGAGGTAGGGGAGAGCGGGGCACAAAGTAACACTTTTTGACTTTCTCAGTTTGTGTACATCCACATTGGGTTCAGAATATATATTTTTTTTATCCATGGTAATTTTACACTTGTCTAGTACAAATAGGTCTCTTTGTTTCATAATTACAGTGTATACGCTTTTCTTTATCTACCCTCAAAAAATGCAAGTGAAATGTGACAACATGCCCCGTAGGTGGAACACATTGTAACATCTGAAGTGTCCAAACTTTTGACTGGTACTGTACTATAATATACACAAAGAATATCGGCCGATATATCGGTATCGGCCTTTTTTTAACTCCCTAATATCGGTATTGGCCCCAAAAAACCCATATCGGATTTTAATATATATATTAAAATCACTACAGTCAGTTATGGACTAAATTTATCAGCTACATGACATTAATAAGAGTACTGTAACATTTTAGCAAATATTTCAGTAAAAATGCTGAACAATGTGACAATCACTGCCAATCACATATTTCACTGATTTAATTTCACTGTAGGCAGGGCTACTCAGAACAACGCAACAAAAATAATAATATATAATAATATTGAAAAAACTGTTGCTTATCACTTGCTGCATCATGCCTGGTTTACGACACGGTGTAACAAGTTAAAGCGAGTCAAACATCTATCAAAGCCAAAACCGCTGGGTGTTTTGCGTTCACTCCAGGATCAAACAATGATGTATTTGATCAACAAGAAAGAGTTTGTGTTCCCTCTGACATCTTAATTACAGCAGAAGCCTTGCATCACATTAACCCAAAATGATGTTAATTGGAATTAATCAAAGCAATAAACACAACATTAATCTATTAACCCTTATGCTGAAAGAGTGGTTTTGAGATCTCTTCTGCTGGAGGAGAACCACTATGTAAACAAAACAACTTCTTACTGACAGCACCGGTCAGATCAATAACCACATGCCGGTTTCAAGTGAAGGATTGGTTAATGGCCCTAACAATGGCCCTTAAAATTGATATGCCTCATTTGAGGTTTCAGCTGTCAACTGACATCTACACTGTTGCGTCTTCACCGTAACCATCAATTCATGCCACTCTCTCTGTCAGGGACCACATACATAAATTAAACTCCCTGCAGACAAGCAGAAGTATTTCCATTCTTCTGAGTGCTCTTCTGAGGGGTTTATAAAGTGATAATGAACTGTCGTATGTCGTTCTAACACAAGCCCTCCTGAGAGGAGTGGAGATGAGTAATGGGACGCATTATTGTGGGAGGTAAATTATGGGAAGCATACGGTGCGGTTGAAATGATTTAGAGATGGTCCTAGAGGCTGATGTGAATCAGAGTGATTCAGGAAGTGAGGTGGAGACCCGAGCATGACGGGCCAGCATGCACACTGGGACAGTAAAGGACAAACCCTGGTCAAGTTTTCCAGCTGCTGTTGTAGCACAGGCAGGCTATGTGACAGGCTACTGTCTGACTGATAAGATGACTTTGTTAAACGGTCGGTAGTGCTTATTCAAGACCCCCTAAGGAATTGAAATGTCCTTCCATGAGGACAAACATTTCTGAGAAAAGTGTTTTGTTAGGCATGGAGTGACAGGGATAGGAAATTAAAGGAACGCTGCAATATAGTATTATCAGAAAATCAGAATTTGATACAATATTCACAATCATTTAAAAGTCTCTTTGCATTTATTTGATCAAAATAAATGACAGAGTGAAATATTATTACACTTTAAAATAAAGGTTTTAATATATTTTAAAGTGTAATTTATTTCTATGATATCAAAGCTGAATTTTCAGAAGCAATTACTTCAGTCTTTAGTGTCACACGATCCTTCAGAAATCATTTTAATGTGCTGATTTGGTCCTCAAGAAACATTTCTTATTATTGTCAATGTTGAAAACATTTTTTTTTCAGGATCCTTTGATCAATAGAAAGTTAAAAAGAACAGCATTTATCTGAAACAGAAATAATGTGTAACATCATCTGCTGTCAATTTTGTTATAGTCTACATTGCCATTCTTTATGTGTTATACAAAATATTATATATTCTAAATAATGACAAAAAAAATTAAATAAGTAAATAATAAATAATTTAATAAATAAATGAATTAATTCATTAATCTGAAAATGTGCTTTAAGAGTTTTTTTTTTTTAATGTTTCTTTTACTTATTTCAAATCTACAATTTAGTGTGGTTTATGCTTAATACAAGAAGGACAAACAAAAGAGTTAACAAGATAGAAAAAATAAACCGAATTTAATTCAAGATATATTCTCTCAAAAGAAGTCTTATCAATTTTTTTTAACATGTTTCTTTCTCAAATAAGTTTATCTTGTTTTGAGGATGTTTATGTCAGCCTATCAACCCAGTCTAACACAACTCTGGTAGACCCAAGAAAAAGTCTGTGAAATGTGCATGGAAGTAATTTCCTTCGCAGCTCTCAATCCATGATGCTGGTCGCTGTGAGAAAATTTCCAGTAAGTCTATGGCAGCTGTTCTCATGCATTTAAATATCTGCCAGCTGAGTGGAGGCGGGAAGAGCTTCCCAAAAGAGGGTTTTCAACATGGCACCGTCTCCTCCTACCGGAGCGTTGAACACTAATTGCAAATTACCCTTTTTAAATAAAGATTAAACAGCTGTCAAGTTAGATAAATGGAACATGCCCTAATGTTGTGTATACCTGAAGATCTTGCGATGGTAGAGGTCACACCAGTACATCTTGTTGGTGGTCACGTCCACATCCAGGGCCACGGCGTTCTTCAGGGTTGGCACTACCTGCGTATAGTCCTTCTTCAGCAGGTCAATGCGCCGGATCTCATGGCGGTTAGTAAACATAAGATATGGGCTCTTACCTATGAGGGGAACAGAAAAAGTTTCATCAGCTCACTTGTTATCTTGGGATCGTCCTAATAGATGACTGAACTGATAAACCAATCGATACTAGGCAATTTTGAGACAATCAACATCAGCAAAATCATTAAAAATAGGACACAGAAGACCAAATGAGATTTCTTTAACTTCTCAATTTTCAATTCACCTTGACAAACTGAGACTTTTGCTTATTAGAGAAAAAAGAGCCCAGAATTGTCACATGTATCTCCTTTTGTTTGAGAAGAGATCATAATGTCAAGATCACATTTATAATAAATGTAAGATACCAAATTCTGCCAAGTAAAAAAAGGTAGACCTGACGCATACAATTGTAAAACTAAATTATCTGGACCATGCCATTCATGTTCATTTTATATCTGGGACAAAGTTGAGAATTAAATAAATTAGTGCTGAGAACTCAGCAAAAAACACTCCAAAATCTACCAACATACAACTGCATTTGTGTTGGATTCCTCTGTTATCAGTGCATATGTGCTACAGGGCAAAGGTAAAAACACTAAAAATCAAATGATTAAAATGCTCCCAGAGGAGAAGAATATTTTATCATTTAAATTATTACACTTGCCGGAATGCAAATGTTGTGAGAAAGAAGCTAATGAGAGCTGGCACTTCCAGTATTGCAGTAAAAAAATGTGTAAACTGTATCTTCTCAGATGGGTAAACACATTAGGGCATATTATATTTAAACAAGCATAGTGGCTGATTTGCACTCATACTATTTATTAATTAGAAAGGCACACTTATGGAAAGCAAAAATATAACCATATGACTCGCACAAATGCACCCAGTTGTGTGCGTAAAATCACTGACTGAAATTTTTTATTGCTCATTTCATTTGCAGAGTAAACACAAGTGTGTGTGTGTGTGTGTGTGTGTGTGTGTGTTTCTAAAATGTAAACTGCAGCATTAGTTTACTCATGAATGCTGTGTGAGTCTGCAGTGCACCTACAGACCATGATTCAGGTTTCCAGGTTACTGACATGTGGCCAAAGTGGTTCTGAGAGTTTCCAGGATATTACCCTGCACTGTGGTGTGTATGCAGATGAGCGTGTGTGTGTGTGTGTGTGTGTGCTGTTGGGGAGCTTAGTCACTGTGATTTGGTGCTCAGTCATGCCAACACAGAATATCACTGACCCTATTAGTTTATCCTCTATGTAGCAGCAAGGGAGGCTCCCCCTCCCCCCAAACCTACTTGAAATGGGTGTAATTTATTTTCATCCTGTCACCTGCTCGCATCATCAAAAAACTACGTTCCTGAGGAAAAATCTGTTCTCCCAACCCTCATTGTACCCTTCCTGTGCCCTCTATTATACTTTCATTCTGCTTTTCATCTCTAATAAGCTCACTGCATCCAGATATATCATGATTCGTATTACTGTAGAGGATATAATGTGATTTGGGTACTTCTTTTACTCCTTTTACTCTCTAAGGTATGTTGACAGTGATAGTGATTTGCAAGCAAAAAGCAACGAGAAGTTTTTTTTCTTTTTTACAATTAAAGTTATTAAAAAAAAGTGAAAGCTAATTTTTATGAATTCATGCAACACGCAGTATAAAACAGTAAAGTCAATAAATCTTCACCTTTATGCAAATGACCTTGATGCAATGCAGTAACTACCAATGGGAGTGCAGCGAGTGGAATTAGGAATGTGTACTAGCTACACACAGCACAGAGACCCGATCTGGTTATTTATGTCATAAGTGGTTAGATGGTTGATTACCTGGACTACAATTTGGTGAGGTTATGGTTGATTTGGTAGACTATCTTGGTCAACTTGGTTGGAGCTGGTAGACTATTATGACTAAGCTGGTGGGAACACATGGTCTGGATTCCAAAACTAACTTGACCACCTTGGTATAATATATGATATGATATGATATGATATGAGATATATGGGGTGATTAGTTAGTTATCTGACCTAAAACCTCCGCATGTAATAACCTAGAACACTGTCTAAGACTCGATGGCTGCTCTGTCAATTCTTTGTCATCAGTTAGGAACCTAGGTGTGCTAATTGATAGCAATCTTTCCTTTGAAAGCCACGTTTCATTTGTAAAACTGCATTTTTCCATCTACAAAATATATCTAAATTACAACCTATGCTCTCAATGTCAAATGCAGAAATGTTCATTCATGCGTTCATGACCTCAAGGTTAGATTATTGTAATGCTTTATTGGGTGGTTGTTCTGCACGCTTAATAAACAAACTCCAGCTGGTCCAAAATGCAGCAGCTAGAGTT